AAAATGAAAATCCACTGTTATTGCTTATAGAATGAAAATAAATGTGATTTTAACTCGTTTAAGATTTTTTCTTTCTCTTAAAAACATTGTCAAAATTTTATCATAGTTTCAAACTTTAATGACTATAATCTACAGTAGTTTTATGATAGGTTATATCTTTTAAAATATTTATTGAAATGATGAAAATAATGGTTGTAATTCAGAAAGCACGTAAAATTAATTGTATTTTTTGTTCATTTTTTTCTTTACTATATTCAAACAGTAATGATTGCTTTTGTTCATTCGAAATTATTATCGTTATTATCACCAATCACTGGTAATTAGATAGGTAAATATTACCTTATAATATGTTAACATATAAAAAAACAAAGCAGATGATAATTTTAACCGTATCAAGAAGATGGCATGAAAAATTTCAAATAATCCTTAATTGGATAATTTAATTTCTCGATATTCAAAATAATGGCTGAAAATTAAAATCGTTAAATCTCTCTGTCAATGAGGAGTTTCTGAACAAAAGAGCTTTTATCAACTAATGGTTTTTTATAATTAACAAATTCAATATAATTAACAGTCCCGATAATAATTACAATTTTCTCTGATCATTATCACTCCTGATATCTGTCATATTTTACACACATTATACCCTTTGTAAATATTGAATAATTTCATTTAATAATTGGAACAAAAAAAAGGACAAATATGAAATATGAATTAAAATTATAAATTGTTGTATATGAAATATTAAAATTCTCATTTCAATTCATTTATTCCTCTTTGAAAGATTGAAATGATATTATTGCGTAATTAAATGGATTGAAGCCTTCTATTTTTCTTTTATTCTGTCTATCAGTATGGTATCAATTTGATGTGTATTATTTTTGTCATAATTTCACATGCTATTTCATAATTCCCGAATACGGCAAAATGTTTTTCAATGTCTGTTGGGAGTGATGAAAGGGAAAATGTTATGAAGGCGGTTGAAGGCGGAAAAAGGGAAAAGTTGGATGATATAGCAAAAAAAAATGGCGGTCAAAGCGGCAAAACTGTGGATGGGTACATGAGGAAGCAGTTGACAAATCGAGACCAAACAGCAAGGAAGCCGGTTTGGCAAAGTGCTCCCGAAGGGATAGTCGTTTGGGATCGTTGAAATGCTTGTCGCCAAAAATTCTAAGGAGGAGCTTTTCATGTCTTTAAGGGATAACTTGGAGACAGACATCATATGGATTATTTTGTCGTTTTTAGGGTAAATTTTGGCGGATGTTTCAATCAACGAAGT